TTCACTAAAATTGAAATATCTCACAAACTGTAAGTCCTAGGTATGCAGAAGCTTTAATAAAGTTCACCTATTTTTTTATGGTCCTTTCAAAAATGCAGTAAAATACAGGGTATTCCATTTAAAAATACATAACTTTGATATGATACGCTTTTCCTGGACACCCTGTATATTAGAAAATATTTTTAAAATGTAGCCGTAATCAACCTACACGTACCCACCTAAACAGGTTTCTGTAACATTTGCCGTTTGGTCCCTAGCGACCGAGGCGTTACTGGTGGCCCACCCTGTATAATGAACCCGTTTTCGTTTACCTTGGTTTCTAATAACAATTTACTCTCGCAATCGATACTTCAAATTACACTACACGCGATTAGGATGTTTCTTGAAGAACTATACAGGGTGCCCGGAAAAGTGATGTCAATAATGAAGGGGTATACAGAGGAGGTCGGGTCGTTACCATGACAACAATGAAATTTGGGCAATTAAAGTAACTCATGGTAATGTTCATTTCCAAGTTCAAGCTGGTATTCAATATGCCTGGATTATACAGGAGCGGAAGAAATTATCCATTTAAATTTATAGACCTTTTACAGCGTTGCCAAATTTTACATTTTTTTTCATAGTTCGATTCCTCTCTCACTTTGCAAAAAAAAGGTATACCGTATATCAGTCCATATCTTGTACCCTTTCTGAGAAAATCGACTTTTATTAACAACATACATTTATTGTTTCAAAAATGTGACTAACATTTTTGGAAATATCTTGGTTTCTATAGAATTAAAAAAAAAAAGGAGAACTGTTAAGTAAGATGTTCAATATGTGCACCTTGAACTTCGATACATTTTCTGAAAATGCTCAATCACCTTTGCTCTACTCGAAATAACATGTGGCGATCGTTTTTAATGATCCCTGCTATTTATAGGACTTTGATAAACAAGACTTTTAAGATGGCCCCAAAGAAAAAATCGAGATCAGATTAAGATTGGGAGACCGAGAAGGCCACGGAACAGGACTACCTCGATTGATCTATCGATCGGGAAATATGGTATTTAAATAAGCTCTTACTGCCCTGCTAAAATGAGATGGTGTACCATCAGGCATAAGCCACACGTTATTTCAGATATTTAAAGGGACGTCTTTCAATAACGGGTTAAGGTGTTCTTGCAGTAGGTATTTTTTAAAGTGTCATCAATGATATGTGGTTCCACTAAGTAGTTTCCAATTATTACAATCCATACATTAATGATAAATTTCTTTCGGTGTTTTGTCTGAATATTATTAGTCCAGTTGGTAGAGGTTGGGTGTGTGTCAAACCTTGATAAACCGGAAATAACTACACAGGTCTACTTTAAATGATGAATACAATAACAGGCTAATTTGCTGACAAAGTATTTTATCAGGAAAAAAAGTTATTAACAATTTATTCGTGAAAAAATTTTTTTTTAGTAGTTTTCTTTAAATAACTCAGCGGGATGACTTTGTACGAAAAAATGCTTAGGACATGATTTTGTTCGTAATAAAAATAGCTACAAAATGGCGGTGGTCCGATTACGAAATTTGCAATAACAAAGCCGTGAGATTGAAAAAACGGTATAAAACGTCAATTTTTTAAAGTTGCTGTAAAAATGTCAATTATAAACAAAAAGTGATAAAACTTTCGAAAACTATAGTTCAATATATATACAATAATGACGCTAAAGCCGAAAATCAGGAGAGCAAAACTTTTTGTTCTATAAGGTGTTATACATTCATCGGCATCTGAAACTCGAAACTTTGCCAAATTTGTTCGAAGCTTTGCTGACACTTGAAATTTGGTACACACATAGTGTAAATATGCAGAAACCAAAAGCAATTTGCAAAATTCAAGTATCTTCATTTTTGCAGTTTTGGTAAGGTTTTATACGTCACCCTAGTTTTATACGTCACCGTTTTTTTAATTTTTGGACGTATATTTATGTATATTTATAAAATATTCCATTACGGTAGATTAGCCAGCATAATTACCTACAATTTAAAAAAATATATATTTTCATCGTTTAGATCCTAAGCTACTTAACATTTTGCGCCTGTTAGCCGTAGTCGTACATTATTCAACATATTAACATAAAACAAAATCGTACGTGTGGGGTAAACCTTTAACTTTAAGTAAACAATTGTTTAAATTTACTGTTGCATATTTCTAATAGTATACAAGCGCCGAAGAGCGGAGCTCGCGCTCGAAAATGAAAAGTTAAAGGTTTACCCCACACGTACGATTTTGTTTTATGTTAATATGTTGAATAATGTACGACTACGGCTAACAGGCGCAAAATGTTAAGTAGCTTAGGATCTAAACGATGAAAATATATATTTTTTTAAATTGTAGGTAATTATGCTGGCTAATCTACCGTAATGGAATATTTTATAAATATACATAAATATACGTCCAAAAATTAAAAAAACGGTGACGTATAAAACTAGGGTGACGTATAAAACCTTACCAAAACTGCAAAAATGAAGATACTTGAATTTTGCAAATTGCTTTTGGTTTCTGCATATTTACACTATGTGTGTACCAAATTTCAAGTGTCAGCAAAGCTTCGAACAAATTTGGCAAAGTTTCGAGTTTCAGATGCCGATGAATGTATAACACCTTATAGAACAAAAAGTTTTGCTCTCCTGATTTTCGGCTTTAGCGTCATTATTGTATATATATTGAACTATAGTTTTCGAAAGTTTTATCACTTTTTGTTTATAATTGACATTTTTACAGCAACTTAAAAAAATTGGCGTTTTATACCGTTTTTTCAATCTCACGGCTTTGTTATTGCAAATTTCGTAATCGGACCACCGCCATTTTGTAGCTATTTTTATTACGAACAAAATCATGTCCTAAGCATTTTTTCGTACAAAGTCATCCCGCTGAGTTATTTAAAGAAAACTACTAAAAAAAATTTTTTTCACGATTAAATTGTTAATAACTTTTTTTCCTGATAAAATACTTTGTCAGCAAATTAGCCTGTTATTGTACTTATCATTTAAAGTAGACCTGTGTAGTTATTTCCGAGTTATCAAGAAAATGTCACCAACAGTAACTTTTCGGCCTCTGCCAACTGGAGTATATATTTAGACAGCGGTTAGCGTAAATACGAACAGCTTCAAAAACTGCAAATTCTTCATAGATAAAATCCTCCATGATATTGAATCAACAAATGGTGTCAAAATGATTTATGACAAATATATAACTGCTAATTATACATACTTGTTGACAGAAATTCGATTTTCTCAAAAACTAAAAAGATATCGACTGATATAAGGTATACCTTTTTTTAAGCAAAGTGAGAGAGGAATCGAACTATGAAAGAAAAATGCCAAATTTCGCAACGCTGTTCAAGATATATAAAGAGTGACCGCAAAATCCGCCCGTTTTTGCGTAGTGTGTAGCAAGAACGGGGAAGGTTGTACAGAGGTCTCCGTGGGCTTAAATTGATCGTCATGAAAAATCTAGGTGAGCATAATTCGATTTTTCCAATATTTTCCCGACTTACCCCTACTTAAGGGGTGGAAACCACTCCTAAAACAAGAAAAGTGAGAAAATAGTCGATAAATTCTTGGTAAAATTGGGGGTATTTAACATGGCAAGGGTAAAATCAGGAATGTCCTTCTCAAAATGCTCATGATAAACCCACCCCCCGCGTGGGGGTAAAACAAAAGATCGAATTATGGGGCCCGTCTTTCGTATGATTTGTGGGGTAGTGGGGGAAACAAAGTACTTCATGAAGTGGATATCATTCCCCGTCTGCTATCGGCAATAGGGGTGTTTTTCACCTTGAGCATTTTTAGAAGGGCATTCTTGATGTTACCCTTGCCATGTGGAATTCCGCCAATTTTTACCCAAATTTTGGTGACCATTTTTTCTGTTTTCTTGTTTTAGGGGTGGTTTCCACCCCTTCAGTAGGGGTAACTGATCAGAATCCGACAGAAGAACGAATTATGGGGGCGTGTATTTCATATCATTTGGATTTATAAGGAAGAGTGGCACAAAAAAGGCAATTCATGAAGGGAACATCATTTGCCGCCGGTTTTCGGCAATATGGGTGGTTTTACCCCCACGCGGGGGATGTTTTTCACCTTGAGCATATTTGGAAGAACATCCCTGATCTCTTCCTTGCCATTCAAATTCCCGCCAATTTTTACCATGAATTGATCGACCATTTTCTCACGTTTCTTGTTTTAGGGGTGGTTTCCACCCCTTAAGTAGGGGTAAGTCGGACAAATATTGGAAAAATCGAATTATGCTCACCTAGATTTTTCATGACGATCAATTTAAACCCACGGAGACCTCTGGACGACCTTCCCCGTTCTTGCTACACACTACGCAAAAACGGGCGAAAAAATGTTTTTTTTTGCGGTTACTCTTTAAATGGATAATTTCGTCTGCTCCCGTATAATCCAGGCATACTGAATATCAGTTTAAACTTGGAAATGAAGTTACTTTAATTGCCCAAATTTCATTGTTGTCATGATAACGACTTAGAAGTTATAATTGGAATTTGTTTTTCAAACTTCTTTCTTTGAAGGCAAATAACTCCACAACGAAGCCCGATAGGAAAAAATTTTATATGCAGTACTACATATATTTTGACGTCCCCTGTATACCCCTTCATTTTTAACATGACCTTTCCGGGCACTCTGTACATCGTCGTAGCTAGGGGCTGGCCGCGGAGACATCTGCCAGGGGCGCAAATCTCAAGGCAGCGCACCCGCAGACCCACAGCCTGCTTAATGTATAACTTAAATTACACTTTAAAGTTATTATATTATTTCTCTTCCTACAAAATAATTATTGGGGAGCGCAAAATTCAAATCTTGCCCTGGACGCTCATGATCTTAGCTACGACACTGCCTTTTCTAAATGGTTTCAACATTTAGAAAAGACTTGGGTCAAAATTTCGCAATATATATGGGCAATTTGGATATATCTTTTGCATTATTTTTTGGTAATTAAATTATTTTTGGAGTATTTTTCAGATTAACCACAAGAGAACAGGATTTTTCTCATTACGGTCTTAGAATTTTGGAAATGCGAACATAAATTCATTCCTATAAATGGTTCGAAAGTCATTATCAAAATAAGTTTTAATGAAAATTACAAAATCACCTTGTATGTCTCCAAATTAACCCAAGACTTTTTTTGAGTTACTCTGTACTCATTTAGGTTGCTCAATCTGTATTACAGTATGTTCAGTTGAAACACTTTGTATACACTGCGTTTCACTTTTCATATTTCGGTTATTTGAATTGATACGTTTTGATATTGTATTACGAAATAATTGCCTGCAATACGATTATTCTAATATAACCAAATTCGATTTTAGTTACAGTCGTCCGATTCTACAATTTAAAAAATATATACTAGCAAGCTATAATCTGTCTGTATCTAATCTAATCTATTAGTAATATATTATAATTTAGTATACCTAGAAACTCCTCTACACCGAATTTGAAAAAAAAAATACATGTTTAAAAATGCTCATGACATGGATACTCAAACATTTAGGTTTTTTTCTTTAATATAACCGTTAATTTAGAAGCTAACAAAGTTAGATCATCTTTTCCTTTTACTTTTTGTTTTATAATAATATAAAGTTGTTATAGAATTATCGTGAAAACTTTTTTAAAACGTAAAATTAGACAAATATATGGCGAAATTACTAAATAAGAAATAAAAAAAGAAATGAAATGGTTAAAAATGCATAGAAAAAGGAAATTTGTTAATTAAATTTACCCTACATCCATGGCGTAGCCAAGAATTTTCGAAGGGGGGGGGAGGTGCAAGAGCCAGTTTATTGAACCAAGGTATGTTAGGTAAAATCATGATATCAAGAATCCATATATTATGTACCTACGAGTATATTAAAAAGCTGTAGGTGTGTGCCATATCAAACATATCAAAAGCTTTCCTCGCGAGCCGCTATTATGACAAAACTGAAATTAATCGGCGAAAAAATTATGTGTTTAATTTGACAGAAAAGTAGCATTATATCTTGTACTTACTGCCTGGTTAAAACAAATAACTATTTACGTCCTGGATGTAAAAGTCTTTTACGTTCTGTAGAGAAAAAAACTGGTGTTATGACACTTAATAAATGTCATGCGAAAGTTAACTATTAATGACAGTTTTCGAAAAATGTAATTTTTTAAAGTTGCAGCATGTAGCAAGAATTAGGCCCCCCTGACCCCCCTGGCTACAGCCATGCCTACATCTCTTCTCAAACTGAAATTTACTCTGAAATGAAATCATCTGAGAACGTTGAAATAGAGGGAACTGAGATATCCCTTCTTACACGTTTTTAACGTTTTATATAATTACGTGAGCATATTTGTCTTTAACCAATACAATAATCTTTTATTTACTACTCAAAAATAAAAAAATTGTCTATGTAAAATTTCATGAGCTGAAAATATTCGATTATTTTAGTTTTTAATTATTATTATACAAATATAGGTATTAATTTTGTTAAGTATGTACCTAGCAGTAGGAAAATACACTTAATTTTTTATTAAAACGTGTTACGTGTTACATCCTTACTTAAATGTGTTAATATACATATTTGCAATGAAATATTAATAAAAATGTTCAAATTAATTAAATTGTTATTAATTACCTAATTTATTTTATAATTACATTAATTGCAGGTTCTGTTCCGGAAGTGATGTTAACTAACTAAATTTATTAAACAATATTATTTTATAATTCTTATTAGGCATACTGTGCTTCCACATTAAGATCTTTGTTGGGATTCGGCAGAATTTCGCTATCGAAAAAGAATGATCGGCAACAGTTTCGACTGTTGAATATTTACATCTTTACCTAAGGTATTTTGCTCCTATCGTATTCCACCCTTCGAGCGAGCTTCAGGATTTCAGAACACTCAGTATATTCCTAGAAGTCGTCTTGTACCTACGTATATGCCTGACCGTTGAATCGGGAAGGTATATCCGTATCAAATTCACCTACCTTTCCAATCCAAACCGAAAACCCGCCACGGTTGCAAAACTAACACGCCGTCGGCAGGGCAAATCAAAAAAGCCTCCACGGTATCATTTCAGACATCGAACTCGATACCGTCCAAAAGCGATTTCCGCGACTCTGCACCTCAGTGCGGATGTCGCGGAAATGTCTAAAATTTTACTAACCTTTCGAAGACGCTATCGTCAATAACTCGCAAAGTTATTGAGCGATCGGTGCCAAAATTTAATGCAGCATTCCTCAAGTCGCTGGCATTATCTCTATAAAATTTCATCCGAAACGGATGAGCCAAAACGCCGTTATACGGGAAAACGCGGATTTTACGTTTTCCGCGGTTTTAGCCGTTCCGCTCATTCGATCTCAGCCGAACCTCAAAACCACACTAGAGCATCCCTAGGTGGTTAACATATTCAAATTCGAGCCGAATCGTGCAACTACTAACGGCCAGCTAAGCCATAATAGGTTTTCACGTCTTCCTAGCTGCCGCCGGAAGTATCCGCGCGATCTCGGCCGAACCCTCCAACCACGGTACTACTCCGTACCGTGCATCTACACACCACTTTTGAACCTGACCCATACAGTATTAAGACCTCCGTAATCCCTTTTACGAAGACGGGGAAAATTTCACCGATGTTTCCAATTTCCCCGTCTTTGGGCCGAAAGGACCGTCTTCCGAAGGTCCCACCGCTCTGGCGGTTGGATGCGATACTCGGTCGCCTAAGCCGAGACCGCGGGTAGAGTTTTCTCAAAATGGGAGAAGACTCCAAAATCCCCGATGCCGACATCGACTATCCGGAGAGGCCAGAGGAGAACGAGATCCGACGTCGACAGCGGCGACGCGCTTTTTTACTGGAAATTTTGGCGGACGATTCACGAGCTGTCCGCCAAAAGCATGGAGAACGGGGGAAAGCGATCGAACGTCAACTTCCGGCGTTCGCAGTACTTCAGTGGGAGTACATGGTGCGAAGCAAGCGATACAGAGTCAAATGTAACAAATCTTATTCTATGGTAAATAACTTGTATATGTATGTTAATTGTGAACCTTTATTGTCTGTTAATCCTGTTAAATAAATACTTTTAACATATCTTCCACGGTTTGATTGAAATAACCCTGTCGTTAAACTCAAGACCTTTTGGAGCTCAAACTCACAGGCTCGCTTAACGAGGCTAACGTCGATCGAGGCTGCCATTCCTCGACGCGGATATTATAGTGCCTAGCAACCACTACTCGCTTCACGAGACATACCACCCGAGGTAGCCTAGCCTGAGGTGAAGACCCTGTTCGATAGCTTCCTGCATCGAAACAGCGGTAAATTCCAGGATCCTTTTTGAGACCTGCGATACCGTCCCGATAGCTCCCTGCATCAAAACAGCGGTAAATTCCAGGATCCTTTTTGAGACCTGCGATACCGTCCGAGACTGAGCATCTCCGACGAAGGCCCTGTCCGATAGCCTCCTGCATCGCACAGCGGTACACTCCTGGCTCCTTCAGAGACCTGCATACCGTCCGAGGCTGAGACCCTGTCTCCGATTGTGCCGGCTCCATCGAGAGACTCGTATCTCGGAACAGCGGTACACATAGGCTCCAACGAGTCCTTTCATTCAAACTACATCGAGTTCTGCAAATCCGAGGCAACTTTGCTCGTCAAATCCCTAGGCGGTCACTCGTCGAGGCAACCTTCCTCGTCAAACCCCTACGATTATCTTTGTGACCTACGAGTCCAAAGCTATAGTACGCACGTCATTGTGGCGGCGTACTCGAAATTTTAACAGTTGTTCTTGCTTCTCAGGGCTCCCTCGAGAGACCCACCTTTCAGTAGAATCAGTGTTTCTACCAGAACTTCAGGGCAAAGGAGCTTGCTCTGACATTGTCGTACGGGATAAGATGTATCCCTGCGACGCGATATCCAGTGCTACGAGGAGTGGTGCTCTCGAAGATACTCATAACAAATCAGATCGTGATTCGATGATCAAGACTGAGCTGGACGAGACCTCGACCCCATCCGGAGAGACCAGCGCTTACAAAGACTGCCCTCACGCCTGTTTGCCGGCGAAAGATCTCCCGTGAAAGAGAAAATGGCCTTATTCCCCAACGCTGTATCGATGCTGCGTGGAGAGTCTGAGGGGCCGAAGCTGGTAGTTCGCGGAAATACGCAGACTGACCACCTACGACGAAGATCCTGTGCGATAACCTCCTGCATCGACACAGCGATACTCCAGGCTCCTCCAGAGACCTGCGTACCGCCCGAGGTAGCCCAACCTGAGGCGAAGATCCTGTTCGATAGCCCCCTACATCGAAACAGCGATACACTTCACGCTCCTTCAGAGACCTGCATACCGTCCGAGACTGAGAACCTCCGACGAAGACTTTGATTCCGATTGTGCCGGCTCCATCGAGAGACCCGCACCTCGGTACAAAGTACACACATAGGCTCCTACGAGACCTACAATTCAGACTCCATTGAGATCTGCAAATCCGAGGCAATCTTCCTCGTCAAACTTCTAGGCGGTCACTCGTCGAGGCAACCTTCCTCGTCAAACCCCTACGAGGCATTTACTTTGTGACCCACGGGCACAAAGCAATAGTACGCACGTTATTGTGGCGGCGTACTTCCAAATTTAGTAAAGAAGTTATCCTTACTTCTAGGGCTCCCTCGAGAGACCCACATTTAATAGTAGAGTCAGTGCTTACTACAAGACGTCTACAAGACTTTCGGAGCAAAAGAGCTTGCTCCGACATTGTCGTACGGGGTAAGACGTATCCCTGCGACGCGACTTCGGTATCCAGTGCTACGAGGATTGGTGCCCTCGAAGGTACAACAAATAAATCGTGATTCTTTGATCAAGACTGAGTTGGACGAGACATCGTCCCCATCCGGAGAGACCAGCGGTTGCGCGGACTGCCCTCACGCCTGTTTTCCGGCGAAAGATCTCCCGACACTCCGGGTGAAAGAGGAAATGGCCTCCTTCCCCAACGTTATCTCGATGCTGCGTGAAGAGTCTGGGGGACCGAAGGTGGTAGCTCGTGGAAGCACGCGGCACGGCGCAGCCACAGCGCCGTACGCTTTGAGGTCCACTGCTACGCGGGTTACTGATACCACCTCGATCATCCCTCATGACGCACTCACGGAGACGAGTAGCACGCACGAGTTACTACGAAGTGGGTCACCCACGAATACTCGGGACGAGGTTATACCTACGTACCAACTTGTAGGGTCCGGGGAATCCTATGAGCCCAACCACGGTTCGCGGTCCGGCCCCGATAGCGGCCTACCTCCGATATCGGGTGTTCCGGAACGTGGAGCGGTTGGCGACGTCGATACAGTACACACAGCATTTTCACAAAATGGTACCCAGCGGGAGCAATGCACATCTCGTTCGGGTGCCATAGCATGCGAAAGCCCCTTAGCCGACTATGTCGTAGGTGACGTAGCCGGCTCTTTCCACCTAAGCAATTCTGGGGTACATCGCCCATCCACTCTCATGATTTCCCCCGAACATTCGATCACCGCCTAAGTGGTCCCAATTTAGAAAGTCTAACCCGACACGAGCTCATGTCCTAGACACCACGTCTATAGGCCATATCCACCACAGACCACAGTCCCTTGAAAATCTGATGAGACCTGGCGTCCCAAGTGACGATCCATTAGAACTCCGAGCGTCTCTATTGCGGACCCAGGTTAGGGAAACCAATAATTCAGATCATAATTCACGACATGGCGCTCGACGTGGGGTTCGAAGTTCTGCTTCGACGTCTTCGCGGCGAGCCCAGGTTGCCGAATCCCCTCACAATTTTCAAATATTAGGCACTTCAGATCAAAGAACTCAACTTGGCGCCCAACGTGGGGCTCGAATACAATCTCAAGTATGTGAAACCACACGAACTCATCAGCACAATGAGACTCGGGTTCAATCTGAAATTCATTCACAAATTTCTGTTCCCCTGCCTCCTAGACCACTTATATTACCTTCTCACGTTCTCGATAGCGAGGACCGTTATGGATACGACTCCGCTGCTAACCATACGAACAATTCGTGGCTTCCGTTCACAGAGACGACCGATGGTAGCGGAGACGACGGAGAGTATTCCGGCGTTGACAGGCTCACTACTCTGTCACGTCACCCAATCAAAGCAGAAACCCCAAGAGATGTATTCGGACTCGCCTCTACAAGTCGCGAACCCCCAATACCTTCGAGGTCGCAAACACGACAACCCGTAGCACACACCCCTCAAAATATTCCTGTTGCACAAAAGCGTACCCTTACTTTTGAGCAAATTGGACATGAGACGCACGTACCGGCTCTCAGTCCTGAGACTCTCATCTGCCGCATGGCCGAAGCTGTGGCCACTGCTCTAAGGCAAAATACCAATTCCGAAAGGAATCGTCCCAGACCATTTCTTCACAATTATGCTGGCCTGGACCACGAAGATCCTCAGTGGTTCGTGGACAGGATTAGTGTCTATCTATACAAGTCAGATATTCAAGAAGACTCAGAGCGAATCGCAGTTTTCCAGCGTCATCTTGTAGGAGATGC